GAGACTAAACATGTTCGGGGTGTCGCCTAAACGCGCTTGCAATCGACGTTCTAGCCGCAATACTAGACGCGTCGGGGGTGTCGCCTAAACGTGCATTCTTGCAAGTTTTCCCATCTGATCAAACCCGATCCATAAATTCACTTAGAATCCTGCGGATTCACAAGTGAACTGGGGGGACTTATTGTAGGAGATGGGTTATACCCCTCCACAAGGCCCATCAAATGAGGAAAACTTAGCCCAGTCTGACAATATACTCGGCCCACCGGGTGACACCGAAACGACTCGGTATGAGACGCGTTTAGTAGCGCGATTAAATGTGTTCTAGAAGAGTCCGCGGAGGTACGATTTACCCGAACTACTAAACGGGCCTAGCGGTAATAAGGCCCAACAAGGCTAGGGTAAGTTAGGGCGAACACGAAGATTGGATCTATAAAAGGAGAGAGGCAGCAAAGGGAAAAGGGAATCCGGAATTCGACATACTCACTCGGCGGCTAGATCTAGGGTTTTCTAGTGATTAGGTGGTTAGATCTAGGGTTTACTCACCCTCTCGTTTAGTCACCTCCCTGTTTAGTCACCTTCCCGTTTACTCACCATCTTGTACTTCCGGCTAGTCCGTCGATTTACTCTCTTCTTTGTAACTCCTCGTTCAGATCTAATAAAACGTCTTTGTTCGCCCTCATCTCTCTCTTTATATTGTTTCAAACCATTTTCACCTCAAACACCTAGTGTGAGGAATTGGTCCATCATTTTTAACCAGCTATCAGCAGCCATCCCAATAACATTGCTGTAAATCCGAGAAATACAAAAAAAAAAAATGAATCCCAAAGATAGTTCCAAGATACACATTATTGAATTTTTTTTTTGATATTAAAAAGTAAGTTGAGAGGACCTAGCATGGAATCTCGTCTTCAAGAACATATTGAAAAGTTCTTCTTCCAACTCTTCTTGTGAAAGGTCGCTTGGCTTTTTAGCAGAGTTACTTTGAGTAGGAGGAGTCAAACTCACCCAGGGCTCATCCGGTTTGAAATGGTCAAGTAGCTAAACCAGAAAAAGCAAACCAGAGAAAATCAGGTCACACCAATAAACAATTTTACTTTCTATTGAAGGTGTTATTTACCTCTGGATTTCTGGAGATGAAATACATATCGCCATCAAAGTCACCACCTGCAATCTCATCACCCAAAGATCTTGAACCTTTCTGAGGGAAGAACACACCATACTTGGAGTTTCCTACATACTCCTCCATGGCCTTAACATATGTTGCCTTAAGTACATGTATGTCTCCAAAATGTAGTCCAGGATTCCTGTAAACTAACACTTTCCCTGAGATTTGGCCAGACTCCCTACACAAAATCCACAACAAAGAAAGCGGTGAGGAAATGAACATCTAACTCACAATTCCATGTAAAAAGACTCAAAAGTGAAAGAGCAAGGGACTGGGAAGCATACAGGACGACACAGACTTCATCTTTCTTTAACTCCCCGGTAGGATCAACAGTACCCATGAGATAGTATGATTCACTCACCGGAAGCCTTCCTGCTTTGAGATCATTCTTCTCCGTACTCATAAGAATAGACAAATGATCCTTTAAGTGTGGTTCCTCTAGTGGGATACCAGCCAAAATCATTTGTGCAGCATTATTATCGTCCATATCTCCATAATTAAGAGCAGCTTCACAAATAAATTGAATTCTTAGAAAATCCAGTATGAGTCACATTTGTTGTGGGAACTTTGGAAAATGTTAAGCACCTTTAAGAGCAGCACGTTTGTTGTGGAAGATGGTTTTGGACTCTTCCAACGTGTTGCGCAATATATTCAAAAAGAAGTCATCAGGGACTCCTCCATAGCTAAGCAACGCAACCAAGTTTCTTGATAGCTTTGCTCTTTTTGGTGGATTACTGGATGATGGAAACAAACATCTAGATGTTACTATCAACAAATTTTGTATTAAAACAACAAGTATCCACATTTACCTTGTAGTGACTACCTCCAAGGAGTCAAAAGTGCTAGAATTTGGCAAGTCTGGATCTTTACAAACCTTGATCATAGAAGGTCGAACTTGTACAGTCCTAGGAGGAAGCTGCAAAATTGGAGCAACATAAGGAATAACTTGCAAACATTTAAAAAAACACATATATGATTTTTGTAATGAAAAGAAAGTGAGCAGATTTACTTTCTTGTTTAATAGAAAAGTTCCCTTAACAGCAAAGCCATCATAAAACATCCGGGACTGAATCAGAAGAGGCTGTTTGGAAGAAAAGTATCAATGTTACTGCTTTGTTCAGTAATACAACCAACAATACTAGACTTTATTACTTACCGGGTCCTGTTTACAGGCTCCCTGCACACAAGTAAGAAAAACACATGATAAGGAAACATAGGAGTGAACAAAGTGAACCTAATACATTTCCCTTTGTCATGGAAATAGAGAACATACCTGAGCAGTATCACTCCTCAGGCATTTTCCTTTAAATATATTTACTGGACACATCCGAGCAAGGTCCTCAGAGATGTAGCCAGTGCCATCTGAATGTATACAAAGTTTCCCATTCTTATCATGAACATCTTTACCATTCTCACCCTGCAACTGGAACCACATTAGAGAGACCATACTAAGTAGACGCAGTTCTTGAAGGACACATGTTTTACGAAAGACTTACCTGACAGTGTATATCATCTATTTCTTCAAAGTTAATCTCAGTCATGTCAACTTCAAGCTTCTTAGTCTTTGAAAGAATTAAAGAAAACCTGAAGCATCAACAAAAGAAAAGTAGCTCAAGTTAAAAAGGAAAAATATCTACAAAAAATCAAAGATAAAAAATACTTAGAGAAGAAACTTGAGTACCTTGCCATATATTTGGCCTGAGTTTGCAATGTGTTCACATGCATAAAATGCATACGAGCTTCATGGATTGACTTCCCGGAGAAGATATAGGGACTTCCCATATTATTGGAAGATGTAGAGTCTGTGCGTATGAAGTAGCATTTCACTCCGTTAGTAGAAAAGTCTCTCTTCTTTTCTTCTTTCCCTCCGACTTTGAAAACTGTTTCAACAGAGTGTTTAAACAAGCTCCAAATATCTAAACAAAGAGTATTTTACAAATGAAAAAGTGTTGTATGGAGTCAAAATAACAAGGAAAAAGACCCACCAAAAAATTGATAACAGCGTAACCCAATCATGATACCATTCTTAGCGATCCTTTTGTATGCAGAGTAAGGATCATTACTATAGGTTGACGAGTTTTTAGGGACATCTGCAAATTTGACCGTCAAAACATTATCATCACCCAAGACCTTGTGCAGGTGTGTTCCAGTGGGTTCAAGAAGAGGGCCCTGTAAGCATAAGTCAATGTCAAAGACTTTATATCCCACCACTAAGATACGATGTGTAATAGACGTATGGTAGCAACTTGCAAAAGGACTTCTTTCAACAGTTTCTACAAGTACCTATGCGACATAAGAAAATGCAAACATTAATAGTAGTTGAAGAGTACTTAAAATCAACCTTGAGTGTGTAACTTCCGTCCAACGCAACATGACACTGATAGTAATGAGTCTTCCCACTATCCCATTCAAGTGACTGAGGAAGAGGAATTATGTAACTTAAACATAAGTCTCAGTTTCTTGTGAATATACTTTTAGAAATGCAATCATAAAATATAAATAATATTTGAAAATACAGTATACCAATCTACGGTCTGTTTGGGAACAATAAAGCCGGCCGAAGCGGTCCCAGACCACTTCTTCAAATGCAACCATATGCAAATCCTTCCACTGTCTGATCTCATCAGCAGTTATAACCTGAGCCAGAGATTTCCTATAAAACATACAAAATTTTTTATTTTATTTTTGAAGTATCACAGAAAAGGTAAATATATTACTTAAAATAGATTGAAAAAAGTGAGATAACTTGCAGCCCAAACATACCCTGGAATGTAGCTAAGCAAAAGAAACGCCTTCTTAAACTCAAGCTCACCCAAAGCTAAGATCTCAGGAGGAACGTGCAGAGATCCTCCATAGCTTTCTATTTTCATACACTTGGGAGAAGGAGTTTCAGAGTCTATCTCTTCTACAAGCAAACATAGTAAACTACTCTTGAGCATAAAAGAAAGTACATATATTCACTATTTTCTGTTTTGTGATAACTGACCTCGGAGACGAATGCGGTGTCTTGCAGCAGGAGACTGTGGAGAGCCATTAGTGGCCTGGTCAAGCAAAAAGTTGATGAATCTATCGTGGGTCGTCTTCACATGCTTGGAGTTTAAGACTTTGCTGAGCGTCTCAGAAGCCAACTCCTCAGAAACCGAAGACAGTCTCTGCCTCGTCTCGTCATTTATTGGACCAAGATTGTGTTTCTTGTAGACTTCCTCCAAAATTGCTACAACAGGACCAGGAAGAGTGTTCCCTGACCGTGAAGAAACTTGATCGCCGCCTTTACCACGCTGACTAGTTATGTTTTCCATTTTTCTCTGTGTTTTGCTCAATTGCTTGTATGGTTTCTCTTTAGAGTCTAGAGTGAGTCTTTTATAAAGAGACAAGGAAACTTCACAGAGAAGGAAGTATTAGTTTATTATTGGCTAACCAAAAAGAAAACCTTTTCACTGTGTTAAATTGATCGGCAAGAAAGAGCCACGAAACTTTGTGTAATAGTTAAAAAGGACCTATTAATGGAATTGACATTTGTACCCCTAATGTTAGTCATATGTTACCGAAACGAAACATGTTTTGCCGCCTAAATTTTAAAGTGGCGCCAACTGCGAACCCTATGCTCTCATAGAGATTTTGACGACAATTTTCAATTTGACAACATTTCTTCTGAACATGTTCATAAAGTTACACTAGAAACTCCGTGCACCAACGCGGAGTGTTTAATTTTATTATTTACAAATAAATTATTTTGTATAAGTAATAATATGTATCTTATAATTTATGTATTAAATATTTTTCTTTTAATTTTAAACACAATAGTTTTATAGTTTATATTGAGTAATTTTATTTTGTCTTCTAAACCATCAGTTATATCATCTAGAGTTTTAAAATATGATCCATGCATTCGATAATATGTATTTTTATTTTTTATGGATAAAAATTTAATGATAATGTATAGTTAAATTGCTTATATACTATTTCAAATCTAGTGCTGTATATTTTGTACTCTTCAACATTTATCATATTGAATTTATATTAAACTACTAGTTCATGAAAATATATGTAAAGCAATATACTTATATATTAATTTATAGTATTCGTATGTTTATGGTTGTTTAATTTATTAATGATCATAAATGTTAAAATTTAGAATTAGGTTTTTCAGTGGCATTAATGTGTAATTAAATAGTTGTTTTAATTTATTATTGATTTAGGAAATGATTTATTAAATTAGTGGCATTTCATTATAAATAAGTGATAAATTTTAAGATGATTTTTTTCACTTCTCTTTTAATAATATAAATGCAAACAAACGACTTCTTTTTTTAGAAATAAATGGACATACAAGTATAGACAATTTATTTATTTACAAAAACTATTATGTAGTGTCAAATCTCCACCAAACTATAAAATCAGGTCAAATATTTCTAATTTGAAAATTATAAAATTATTTTTTCACCAATTAAAAATTCAGATTTATTTTTCTCTGAACCAATAATTCGAAATTTAATTATCCATAGATCATTTGATTTAATTGGTTAACTATTAAACCGGCTAAAACCAAACCAAAAATCATTTACAAACCAAATGTCTTTTTAAAATCAAAAATTAGTTATATTATCAACCCCAACAAGGCATCCAATGTTAAATTCTTGAATCAAACAAAATGTCCTAAACTTCAAGCATTACAACCAAATGCTTCACTTCAACCAACCAAAATAAACTCCATTATTAGGATGACCGGTTTTGTTTTTATTGTTTTTGTTGGGAACATGATGATCGGTTTTAAAGAAGCTTGATTTATGGTATGACTTCTATCCTAACTCTTGTTCATACGTATTTTAAATAGTAATATTATTTAAATTAATGATTTTAAAATATGATAAATTAATAAAATTAACTAAAATCATGGGACACATAAGAAAAACTACTTCTTATTATCTAAATAAAAATTTAATCAATTTGCTAAAAAAATATTAAAAGCATGATAAATGAGTAAAATTATCTAAAATCATAGAGAACATGGCAAATAAGCAAAATAACATCTTGTTATTTAAATGAAGGATTTAATGAATTAGCTAAAAACTATTAAAAACATGATGAATAAGTAAAATTACTTAAAACCATAGAGAACATGACACATAATCATAACTACTTTTTTTTCAGTTATTACTTTTAAGTTATTTATTTAATGAATTAGCTAAAAATATTTAAAACACGATAAATAAATAAAATTATTTAAAACAATGGATAACTTACCCATAAGCGAATTCACACTAAAAACTATTAACCACATGATAAATAAATAAAATTAACTAAAATCATGGGGAATATGACACATAATAATAATCACTACTTATAATTTAAATTATTAATTTAGTGAATTAGCTAAAAATTATTAAAAACAAGATAAATAAATAAAATTACTTAAAATCATGGAGAACATGAAAACTAAGCAAAAAATAAATTTAATTCTCAAATAATAGTATATATAGACACACACACACACACACACACATATATATATATATATATATCCCTTTTTTTAAAGCAAAGCAAATCTGAAGAATAATCTTTGTTTAGTTTGTAATATATTTACATCTCTGCCATTTTGATGATGTGTCAATATGACAGTTGTCTTCAGTTTCTTTTATTATTAATTAGGGATTTGTCCGCACGAAGTAATCTTGTGTTTATATATATGTGGCGTGTAAGTGTATTTTGATTTTGTTTCGGATATTTTGAATTTGATACTAAATGTGTGGTTGATGCTTGAGACTTGTATAAACAGTTATATAATTCATGGGTGGCTAGAATAAGTTGCTGAAAACCTTGGAATGATTTATGTATTTTCAAATGATGGTCGTTGAAATGCATGGGATGCTTGTGGTGATTCCTATTTTTGTGTATTTGTATTAGACCATTATAATTAATTATTTTTATTGGTTTCAATAAAGTACGGATGATTATTTCATTATTGCACTTTCCGTTGGCACAAGTATCAGTATGTTGAGTTAATGTCAAAGACTTTATATCCCACCACTAAGATACGATGTGTAATAGACGTATGATAGCAACTTGCAAAGACTTCTTTCAACAGTTTCTACAAGTATCTATGCGATATAACAAAATGCAAACATTAATGAAAAAATAGAAGTTGAAGAGTACTTAAATGAACCTTGAGTGTGTAACTTCCGTCCAACGCAACATGACACTGATAGTAATGAGTTTTCCCACTATCCATTCAAGTGACTGAGGAAAAGAAACGCCTTCTTAAACTCAAGTTCACCCAAAGCTAAGATCTCAGGAGGAATGTGCAGAGATCCTCCACAGCTTTCTATTTTCATACACTTGGGAGAAGGAGCTTCGGAGTCAAGAGACATGATCTCTTCTACAAGCAAACATAGTAAACTACTCTTCAACGAACCAAAATAAACTGCATTATTAGGATGACCGGTTTTGTTTTTATTGTTTTTTGTTGGAACATGATGATCGGTTTTAAAGAAGCTTAATTTTTGGTATGACTTCTATCCTAACTCTTGTTCATACTTATTTTAAATAATAATATTATTTAAATTAATGATTTTAAAAATATGATAAATTAATAAAATTAACTAAAATCATGGATAACATGACCCATAAGCAAAATTACTTCTTATTATCTAAATAAAAATTTAACGAATTTGCTAAAAATTATTAAAAGCATGATAATTAAGTAAAATTATAGAGAACATGACATATAAGGAAAATAACTTCTTGTTATTTAAATGAATGATTTAATGAATTAGCAAAAAACCTATTAAAAACATTATAAATAAGTAAAATTATCTAAAATCATAGAGACCATGACAAGTAATCATAATCACTTCTTATTTTTCAGTTATTACTTTTAAGTTATTGATTTAATGAATTAGCTAAAAATATTAAAAAAAACGATAAATAAATAAAATTATCTAAAAATGGAGAATTTATACATAAGTGAATTCACTCTAAAAAACTATTAAACACATGATAAATAAGTAAAATTAACTAAAATCATGAGGAATTTGACACATAATAATAATAATAATAATAATAATAATAATAATAAATTATTATAATTTAAATTATTAATTTAATGAATTAGCTAAAAAATATTAAAAACAAGATAAATAAATAAAATTATCTAAAATCATGGAGAACATAACAACTAAGGAAAAATAATTTAATTCTCAAATAATAGTATATATATACACACACACACACACACACACACATACACACACACACATATATATATATATATATATATATATATATATATCTTTTTTTAAAGTGAAGAAAATCTTAAGAATAACCTTTGTTTAGTTTGTAATATATTTACATCTCTGCCATTTTGATGTCGTGTCAATATGATAGCTTTCTTCAGTTTCCTTTATTATTAACTAGGGATCCGTCCGCGCTTCGTGCGGAATGTTATCTTTTGTTTATATATATATATATGTGGTTTGTAAGTGTATTTTGATTTTGTTTCAGATATTTTGAATTTGATACTGAACGTGTGGTTGATGCTTGAGAGTTGTCTAAATAGTTATAGGATTCATGGGTGGCTAGAATTTTTTTTTTTTTAACACCGGGTGGCTAGAATAAGTTGCTGAAAACTTGGAAATGATTTATATATTTTCAAATGATAAGTGTTGAAATGCATGGGGTGTTTGCGGTGATTCCTATTTGTGTGTATTTGTATCAGGATATTATAACAGTTTGGTTATTTAATTATTTTTATTGGTTTCCATAAAGTACGGATGATTATTTCATTATTGCACCTTCCGTTGATTTAATTCAGTCTAGTTTTCTGTTGTTTAATCATAATTGCATGTGAAGTTAAGTTCCAGATTTGGGTTGCGTAGTTATACCATTTACAAATAAGGGTGTTTCTAGGGCTTATTTTGTTTTGTTGAGATATGTTATGTGATGTTACTGTTACGACGTTGTGTTAGCATACGGGTCAAATAACTTGCTAATTTGTTGTCAACTGAGTTTCGAAGTTCTTGGTTTTGGTTTTGAATTTCATAGAGTAAATATGCAGCTGTGTGATGGTTAGTTATGTGATGATGCTAGGAATATTTCGTGCCAACTATTTATCTTTTATCTTTGAACCATGAAATTATATTAGCGATAGTACGTAACCGAATATATTTGTATCAATGTATGTAGATGATTCTTGTAAGAGCCAATATTTTTCTTTAAATCCAAGTAGAAGTAAAGAAGCGACTTAAACCACATAAATTTGTACATAAGTATCTTTAGATGAAAAATAGATTTTCACATCTGC